CCATTTTATAGATAAAGAAATTGAGCTATGTCATTTGGGACAAATTATTTACTTCTTCCCTCTTCTTACCCCCACCTATTATAAGTTTTTAGTTTTCATAGCTATGATGTGATGTAGCTCTTTAAGTTTCTCCCAGTTTTCTCTTCAAAATCTTCCTATTTTCAGGTGTAGCTGACAATTAACTGTGTTTCTGGTCAAATCTGAGGGAGAAAGGAAGAAAATTCATTGCATATGCTGCAGCAAAATTCTTGAAAACAAGACCATGCCTGGCACAGAGTTAGTACATCAGAGAGCCATGGATGTGTGCTAGGTACCCTCTGCTGGGTAGGCTAAATGCACAAACCAATTTATTTTCCCTGCTCAAGAAGAATTAAGGACACATATATATTTTTTAAAAGTACAGTTTTTTTTAATGCAAATGAGAGAAAAGGTGTATTCATTTTGTGTTGCTACCATAAACTACCACACCCTTAGCAGCTCAAACAACACAACTTTATCTTACAGTTCTGAAGTTCTACATAAGTTCATGTACATATCAAAAGTATGGCATAGACACATGGCTAATGTCAAGGTTTTAGCAGGGCTGGGTTCCCTTGTGGAGGGTCCTTGCTCATTCATGATATTGGTAGAATATTAGTTCCTTGCAGCTGTAGGGCTGATGATTCCATTTTTTTGCTGTCATCTGATGGCTGTTCCCCACTTTCTAGAGTCCACCCATATACCCACATTCCTTGGCATGTGACTCCCTTTCTCCATCTTCAAAGCTAATAACAAGGACTCAAGTCCTTTTAGTGTCAAATCTGTCTGACTCATCACATCTCTCTTACTGAAGCTGGAAAAGGTTTTTCTGCTTTTAAAGACTCGATTAAATTGGGTTTGTCTGGATAATCCAGGATAATATCATCTCAAAGTCTGTAATCTTAATCACATCTGCAAAACCCCTTTGCCTCCTAGGGCAACACAGTCACAGGTTCTGGGGATTAGGCATGTATATCTTTGTGTGGTGATGGTAGGGGCTGGGGAGGACAACATTATTTTGCCTACTACAGAGGGCGAGGGAGAAACACAAGATACAGTAAGTTGAAGTCAGAAGCATCATTAATACTTGACAGTGACTGTTGTGTACACCTTTTAGGTTGCGTATTTTTTGTGTTAACTTTTATTGATTGAGAAAGAGTAAGAGAGAAACATCGATTTGTTGTTCCACTTATTTGCATTCATTGGCTGATGCTTGTATGTGCCCTGACTGGGGATCGAACCCGCAACCTTGGTGTATCAGGACAACGCTTAGTGTAACTGAGCTACCTGGCCAGCACCATGTGTACACCTTTTAGAAGTGGGCACTGTATTTAGCACTAAGCAGTGTAAACAGAAAACCCTGCTCATTTTCCCTAATTATATTATCTGTTGCTTTTTTAAGTATGTGCATTCATGTACTTAATTATAACTGATAATGGGTCTTAACATAGTGTAATGTAGTGAAGAATGTAAATAGACAACTGGTATATTTTATACTACAAATAATGGCCTTTTCTAATAGTCCAACTCATTGAATCTTAACAGTAATATCCACAGGAAGGCTATGTGTTACGAATGAGGGAAGGGAGACTAATCACATCACACAGCTAGTAGCTGACCAAGCTGGAATTTGAGACTAGGTCTTTCTGACTCCAAAGTCCATCTCTCTCTTCCATATCATACATATCTCTTGATTCCCTCAAATTCCATATCAGACCTCGTCTATTGGCTTACTGCTGCTTTGTCAGTTCCCTTTACTAAAACAGATAACCACCTCCACTCATGGAAAATAGGGTTAAAGTCCTATAACACAGGATAAAGTCCTTTCTCTGCTCCTTAGTAGCTGTGTGAGCTTGAGCAACCTCTTGAATCTCCCTGAGTCTCAGTGTCCTCATCTGTAAACATGGAATGAATGCATGAGATAATGTATAACACTTGTCATGAATAAGAAATGGTTAATATTTCATCTTTACTTTTTGTCCTGCTTCTTTTAAAAAATAGACTTTTTATTGATTTCAGAGAAAAAGTGTGAGAGAGAGAAAATCAATGATGAGAATCATTGATCGACTGCCTCCTGCACTCCCCCTACTGGGGATCGAGCCCAAAACACGGGACTGCTCTAGCTCTGACTGGGAATTGAACTGTGACCTCTTGGTTCATAGGCTGATGCTCAACCAGCTCAACCACTGAGAAAAACCAGTAGGGCCATCCTGCTTCTTTGAATGTTTCTATACTTTCTCCATATGCATTTAAAAAACTAACCCATACTTGATCAGTATTGTATAGTAATGCTGTTCATAGCAAAAATTATTTCTTTTGCCCTCCATGTGTCCTACTAATGTTGATTTCCACTCTCCCTCTGCCTCCCATCCCTGCTTACCTTGCTTACTTGGAGCCAGCTGCTACTTTGAGGAATCTGCTATACTTGACTCTAATTGTTTCCTAGCTTATGTTGGTGTTTTCTTGTATTAGCATGTTTGTTTGCATCTAGACGTTTTATGGGAAGTTCTGTAGTTTATCAGCATTTTTTAACAAGAATCAAAATGGTTTATCAAGATTTCTTTTATTCTAGGTATACATATGCAGCATTGCTTTGTTTAGTCTAAATGACCATCCATCTACACTAAGGAGTTAGAAAGACTGTAGGATAAAAAAAAAATAATTAGCCCAGCCGACATGGCTCTGTGGTTGTGTTGACTTATGTATGAATTAGGAGGTCATGGTTTGATTCCTGGTCAGGGTACATGCCCCGTTTTCGGGCTCCATCCCCAGTGGGGGTCATGCAGGAGGCAGCCGATCAATGATTCTCTCTCATCATTGATGTTTCTATCCCCTTCTTCCTCTCTGAAATCAATTAAAAATATTAAAAAATATAAATATATATTTTTAAAAAATTAAAAATGCAAAGCCTCTAGGGATTTATCTAGGAAGGACCTGTTTTATTATAAGGAACAGAAAACTATTCCAACTAGCTCACAAAAAGAGTTTTTTTGTGTGGGTTTTTTATTTGTTTTTAAGTGAAAGAGAGTTTATTAGTGAAACTGAGACTGAGAGAGTGGCTCCTTCACAGGCATAGCAGCCATGAAAAGAGGTTTTGATAATAATTTAAAGAGTGTTCAAAGGAACCCCAGGGGGGGGAAAACACCTGTAAACAAGTCTTGGGGAACCGGCCACTCTGAAATCTTTGTTTTCTTCTCAGAGCTTCTCTTTCAACCCTAAAGGTAATTAGGACTGTGTGTTTTGGATTTTAAGCATTTTTTTTGTGGGTTTGTTTTTTTGTGTGTCTATTTTTATTGATTTCAGAGAGAAAAGGCAAGGGAGAGAGAGATAGAATCAGTGATGAGAGAGAATCATCGATCGGCTTCCTCCTGCATGCCCCCCACTGGGGATTGAGCCGCAACCCGGGCATGTGCCCTTGAACAGAATCGAACCTGGGACCCTTCAGTGCAGTCCGCAGGCTGACGTTCTATCCACTGAGCCAAACTAGCTAGGGCTCTTTTCTTTTTTATTTATTTTTTTTAGACAATCTTTTTATTAATGATTTCTGATTTTATGTCATTTAGGTATGAGAACATAGACTATGTGTATTGATTCTTCAGTATTTGAGACTAATTTTGTAGCCAAGTACTTGATGATCGTTTATACATATTCCATGTATGCTTGAAAAGTGTTTTGTGTACATGCAGGGTTCCATACATGTCCATTAGATTAGACTTGCTATTTGTGTGTCATGTCTTCTGTATTAATAGTCTTGAGTTTGGGGGTTAGATATTGACATCTATTATGATAATGGATTTTCTTTTGGTTAGTTTTGTCATATTGAATCCCCCCCCCCCCCGCCCCCCCAGTAAATTTGAGTGCTCATTTGTAAGGTGTAAATGGACTCAGGTCTTTACATCTTGCTGAAGAGTTATTCTTTTGTTACTGAGTTACCTTGCACTTTTTATATATTTGGTAGTGTAGTTTCTGGTATTCTGGTGTTAATATTACTTTTTGAATATTAACTTTTGGTTCATATTTGCCTAATAGTATGTACTTTTTTCTTTTAATCCTCACCCAAGGATATGTTTTTATTGATTTTAGAGAGAAAGGAAGGGAGAGGAAGAGAGAGAAACATTGATTGCCTCCCATATACATTATGACTGGGGATTGAACCCGAGACCTTTCAGTGTACTCTCCAACTGAGACAAATCGGCCAGGGTGCCTAGCATGTACGTTTTCAGCCTCTCCTTTTTTCTTAGAATCAGGTGTGGGGTTTTTTTTTTGTTTTTTTATTTTGTTTGTTTTGTTTTGTTTTAGGAAACAAAAATTACAGATACATTTGAAGCCCCTTATATACCCTTTTACCTTTCACCTCTTCATCCCTGGAGGTATCCCTCTCCTGAATTTGGTATTTATTATTCCTATGAAAGTTTCCAAATGATTACTACATATGAATGTATTTGTAAACAATGTACAATATTTTATGTAATTTATTTCAACTTTATGTTAATGGAATTGTGCTTGCTCTGAAACTTTTTTGTTCAACATTATTTTCAGGGATTTATCTGTGTTAATATGTTTTGCTCAGTTTTGTTGATATTAGTTGTTGGATTGGTTTAATTTTGATTATGCTCTATTTTCTGGCTATACTATAATTTTCCCATTCTTTTTACTTAAGGAAATTTTAGGGTGGGTTGTTTGTTGTATTGTAAAAGACGGTATTGCAGGGATTATTCATGTGCCTGCCTACTTGAACACATATGCTAGAGTTCTGGAGGTATATCTTGAAGTGGAATTGTGGGTGGAAAGTATACACATCTTCAGTGTTACCAGCTAATCTGAATCATTTTCTAGAGTAATTATCAGTTAACTTTCATTCTTGTTCTTTTTTAAAAAATATATTTTATTGATTTTTTACAGAGAGAAAGGGAGAGGGATAAAGAGTGAAAAACATCGATGAGAGAGAAACATCGATCAGCTGCCTCCTGCACACCCCCCACCAGGGATGGGCCCACAACCAAGGTACATGCCCTTGACCGGAATCCAACCTGGGGCCCTTGAGTCGCAGGCTGACGCTCTATCCACTGAGCCAAACCGGTTAGGGCCATTCTTGTTCTTTAAGCACCTATATCTTCCCCCCTTTTTTAAGGCCTGCACTTTTTATATAGCCCATTACTGTATTTTTAAAAAATTCAATATAACAGGCTGTCTTTTACCAGGGCAATTTAATTATAGATAAATTTGAATTTATTTCTGTCAGATATCACCGTGGTTCAGTCACATGGGGAGGGATCAAGGCATGTATTACAGGTATGTCCATTTGCCATGGCTTTTGGGTAAGGCAGGCACACAGCAATATAGTGGTCATGGTTCCCAAATATATATAATGTCACCTGTTCTATGTAGGACAATGTAGAAAGACTAATGGAAAAAAGATATCTTCTCCTAACTCTTGTTTTTTTGCAAATTATCAATTAATTTAAATCCCTAAGTTTTCTGTTTATAAAATGTGTATAGTATTAGTATAGTGCTCCCTATAGGGTTGTTCATCAGTTAGGTTCTTTCTGGTTATTGCAGCTTAGCACACTTGAAAATTTTCCAACAGCCTGCTATTTGTAATTAGAATATCTTGATTAGTGTGGTGGGTGCTCTGCTTACTTGTTACTTTGGTAAAGTTCAAATCACTTCAACTTCCATTTTCTCATCTAGAAAAAAAGCAGTAGAAATGCCTGGCTTATCTTAACTCAGGATTTTTGTGAGTTTGAAGTAAGCAATGTATGCAGGTGCCTTCTTAGTTGCAAAGGATATGCTTATTGATTTTAGGGAGAGGGCAAGGGAGAGACAGACAGGCCGACACATTTATGTGAGAGAGAACATCAGTTGGTTGCCTTTTGTATGTGCCCCAACGGGGAATCAAACCCACAACCTTTAGGTATATGGGACAGTGCTCCAACCAACTGAGCTCTATATTTACTTTTAAAAACAACCATACAAATACAAGATAGAGGTCAGCTGATTAAATAGCAGCACATTTTCTAAAAACTTAGTTTGACATGACATGGTTCAGTTTGAGTCAGATGAGTGATAAAGCTAACAAAGGAATAATTGTGCTACTGGGTTGTTAAAAGTAAAACATACAGACAAGGCAGGTAATAGTTCTATTCTTGTCAGGACTCAACTATAAGTCAGTTATGGAAACACTTCAAAAAAAATTTTTAAGACGTTTTCATTTATTTTTCAGAGAGGGAGAGAAGATAGAAATAGGAACATTGCCCTGGCCAGTTTGGCTCAGTGGATAGAGCAGCCGTGGGCAAACTACGGCCCGCGGGCCGGATCCAGCCCGTTTGAAATGAATAAAACTAAAAAAAAAAGACCGTACCCTTTTATGTAATGATGTTTACTTTGAATTTATATTAGTTCACACAAACACTCCATCCATGCTTTTGTTCCGGCCCTCCAGTCCAGTTTAAGAACCCATTGTGGCCCTCGAGTCAAAAAGTTTGCCCACCCCTGGGATAGAGCGTTGGTCTGCAGACTGAAGGGTCCCGGGTTCGATTCTGGTCAAGGCCACATGCCCAGGTTGCGTACTTGATCCCCAGTGGGGGCGTGCAGGAGTCAGCTGATCAATGATTCTCACTCATTGATGTTTCTGTCTCTCTCTCCCTCTCCCTTCCTCTCTGAAATCAATAAAAATATATTAAAAAAAAAAAAAAGAAATAGAACATTGATCAGCTGCTCCCTGCACGCCTCCTACTGGGTTTAGATGCCGCAACCAGGGCATATGACCAGGACGAGGCTCGATCCACTGAGCCATGCCAGCCAAGCAGTTATGGAAGCTCTTGTTACACATTGGAGTCTATGCTCAGGAGACTGGTCAGGGTGGTATATGAAAGCTCTATCAACCATGACATTTTAGCAACAATTGAAATAATGGAAACATTTTAACCTAAAGAAGACTTAAAGAATATAATAATTAATAATGACTTATAAATACTTAGGTGATATAAAAGAGGGCTTAAACAGCCTTTTGTGGCTTTTCACTGACAGAACTAGGACCATGAGTAGAAAAGAGATAGATTTGGACCCTCCATGAAATGGAAAGAGCTTGTTAAATGGTGAGTTGGTTTGTTACTGGAGCTGTGCTAGCAAGGGTTTGATTGATTTGTGTTGGGGCTTGGGTGATGGAATGTTTGCAAAGAGTAGATGATTGGATTGAGTTTTTATTGATTTTTTTTTTTTTTTTTTTTGAGAGAGAGAGAGGAAGTGGGGAGGGTAGAGATCAATGTGAGAAACATCAATTGGTTGGCCTCCTGTATGCACCTGGACTGGGGATCGACTGGGGATGGAACCCAAAACCTGGGTATGTGCCCTGACTGGAGATCAAACCCAAGACTCTTCAGTGCTTGGACGACCCTCCAACCAATTGAACCATACCGGCCAAGGCAGATTTTTTTTTTTTTTTAAAGTTTAAGGTGCCCTGACTGGTTTGGCTCAGTGGATAGAGCGATGGCCTGCAGACTGAAAGGTCCCTAGTTCGATTCCGTCCAAGGGCACGTACCTTGGCTGCGGGCACATCCCCAGTGGGGGGGGGGGGGGGGGGTGTGTGCAAGAGTCAGCTGATCAATGTTTCTCTCCCATCGATGTTTCTAACTCTCCCTCTCCCTTCCTCTCTGTAAAAAATCAATAAAATATATTTTTTTAAAAAAGAAGTTTAAGGTACTGTTTGGGCAGTCCCTGTGGTGGAGTTAGAAAAATGAATAAGACTTTTCTACATAAAGGGAAGGCCAGTTTGCTGCAGTAATTACAAGGTAATGTAACAGAGCTATGTACAAGTAGTAAGGAAGCCTGAAAAGGATTAATTGTAACTGGAGTGAATGGCTCAGAACAGATTTATATTTTCGGTAAGCATTTATTGAGCACCTACTGTATGCTGAGTGCTGTGCTCTGACTTTCATATGTGTTCTTAAAGAGAATTACGTGGCATAGAGAATCCCATTTTTACCCTCTGGATAACTTCAAAGAAATAGCCTTATTTCCCATCTCTAAACAGGATAATTTTCTACCCTTAACTCATTTTTCTGACATTAATTAATGAGCCCCTTCCACTATTTAACCTTTCTTTCTTGACCTCCCGGCCACCCCAATCCTTTCTGGCTTAACATTTTCCTTCTTGGAGAATTGACCCGAGAAATAGAAAAATGATGGATTTGAGTGTGAATATGTGAATTTTCAGCCTTACTCATGAGTAAGTCTTGTTAAAAAGTTCTACTGATCCTTTAGTGGTTTTTAGGGTTTTAAAAAGGAAACCAAAGCCTTTTATTTCACAACTCATTATTTTACTTGCAGGCTTCCTTGTAATTTTCTTATCACACCAACATTTAGTGTAACTATTTTTGGTCACAGTATAAGTTTTGCTAGTTATTTAAATACCACGTACTAAGGAGATTGTTGGATGAGGCCCTAAAAATATTGCTTTCATAGTGTTTGATCCTAAAATAGATCATTTTATATATATAAATAAAATCTAAAATCGTGAAAGTGGTAAGTGCTCATGATAAAAAATGAAGATTAAATTCTCTACCACTTTACATAAATATGGTAAACAATGGGTTGTGTATCCTTCCAGAAATTTTCTATACATCTGTCTTTGTGCGTGTGTGTTCCAATCCCACCAGTAGGGATTATACAATTAGTACTGTTTGTCCTCTGCATTTGTTTTTTCACTTAAGGATGAATCTTGGGTGTATTAAAATATCATCACATATAAAACCTCTCTCATTGTTTTTAAGCACCTGCATAGCTGAACCACAGTTTAATCCGTTCCTGATTCTGTTAGTCTTGGTCTGTGGTTCCAAATAGTAGAAATCTACTATAGCTAAATTAAGCATAAGATTTTATTGGGATGATTAGAAGTCCATAGTATTGATAGGAAGGCAGTATTATCAAGCTTGAAAATGGCAAAACCAAGGAAGGCACAAGGCACAGCCAAATTTCTGCTGTCAGTACAGCCTTCTGAAGAAGATGCTGGGCACATGCCAGTATCTCTCTCCTCCACTGTCGCTACCATGGAGTCTCTGATCCTGGAGCACTTCTTCAAGAATCTAGATTATGGACATTAGCATCTGATTGGCTCATCCTATGTCACACGTCTATGCCCTAACTGCCAGGGAGTTCAAAGAAGGGTTCTGTGATGCTAGGTTGCCAAAACCCACAAACGTCCAGGACATTTTTGATAAATATTATTCACAGTTCTGTGGTATGCATTCTTGTGCATTTGTGTAACAAATTTGTGGGTCAAATAGGATATACATTTTACATTTTGATAAATACTGCCAAATCACTTTCCATTAAACATAAATATTTAATTTTGAGCTTGCTATATATTTCATGTACTTAAATTCAGCAGGCTACTCTCAACATTGTATTGACTGATGCTTCGTCTACTAGTATGTTTGGGAGTTTAACAGTTTGACTTAGTTAAACATGTACTGGTACTTCTTGGGCTCTTATTAGTTTAATCTGGCAACTGCATAAAATAGTTCTTTTTGCTTACAGCCTTAACTTTGATCCCATTTCTATCATAACATACTACTTAGACATCATGTACAGTAATTTTTTTCACAATTATTATAATGTACATTCAAGCTCCTTCTTTACATAGCATTCTGAAAAAATATTCTCTTCAAGCTACTTCATTCAAATATATTTCTGAGATGTGCACTTCTTAATTGGCATCTTTGCTTTTGAAAAAAACTTGGAAATACTCAGATTAGTGTACATTTACTATACCTGTTATTAACTGGATCATTGTTTGGGATAAAGTCAGTATCAAAGAAATAGTATTCATTTTTTAAAACTTCATTAAATTTCTGCCTTGTTCGGGTCATTTAGCTTCTGAATATTTTCTCCTCCTTAATATTGCTACTAATACCTGGAAAATGTGATAACATTCTTTTTAGTTAAGAGAGCTATTGGATGCAAATAGTAATATGTATCTAAGAAGAACAAATTCAGGAGATTGGGTGGTGTAATGGAATATATGATTTAGAATCAAAACACCCAATTTTGATTTTCAATTCTGCCTCTTATTTTATTAACTTGAGACATAACACTTGCCTGAGTTCATCTTTAAAATAAGGTTGTTATTCCAACGTTACTGATTTCATTGACTTACTGTTATGGTGAGATAAGATTGTGGTAGAAGAGGGAGCGTATTTTCACCTTCTTATTGTCAAAGGCCATGCAGATATTTTACTAATAAATAACACAAGTACATTAGTATAAACTTAGTTTATAGGGCTTCATAGATACAATAAAAAGAAATGTCCACATTGAAGTGGTTCTTTGAATATTTGGCAGATAGCATGTAGTCCAGCTATTTTAAACTGGGTAATTGCCAAAGATAGTAAGTCGAAACGAAAATCATGTTTTAAACTTAATCTGTACTATGGTGAAATATATCTCCAGCATTTTCAGTTATTTATCTGTTACACTTAGCATGTAGTAGCTTCAGATTGGTTGTAGTTGGAAAACTAAACTGAAAAGGATTGGACAGTGAAACTACTAGCATTTTATTTATCATTTATTACTTTTTTCACTGTGAAGAAAAACTACTAGCATTTTAGTTGGATGTGTCTAGGGTAGTGGTCCTCAAACTTGACTTGTACATCAGAATCACTTGGAGAGCTTGGTAAACCACAGTTTGTGATTTAGTAAGTCTGGGATGGTGCTAATTGCATTCTAACAAGTTTCCAGATAATGCTGATACTCCTGGGTAGGTGTTTTAGGGACACCATATAATTTATATCTTCCAAGCTGATCCATACTTTATCAGAACAAGAGGAATAACTGAGCCTGCCCCTAGTAAACCAGGATAATATAAGGTCATCCTAATTTTACCTAATGGAAAAATCGTTTTACAAAGAGGATTATGTAATAGAATTGTCACCTGGTGGATGACTCATGTTACCCAAGTTGTATTTATTATGTTAAATTGCCAACAGATGATTCAGTCAGATTTCTCCCTTGATTCCTGTCCTTATAAATGTTAGTTAAAAGATAATAGAAGTATTCTAGATTCTTTAGCTAATTTATTTTGCCATGAATACTAGCAAAATTATTGTAGATGAGTTCTTTCATTAGATGTGTGGCTGGATTAGATACTAGAAAGTAATTTCCAAGTTTGTTTGTTTTTGTTAATCCTCACCCAAAGATATTTTTTTCCATTGATTTTTTTTTTTTTCCAGTGAGAGAGTGAAAGGAAGGGAGAGAGAAAAACATCTAAGTGAGAGAGCTACATCGATTGTTTGCCTCCTGCATGCACCTAGACCAGGCGAGGATTGAGCCTGCAACAGAGGTATATACCCTTGACCAGAATGGAACCCATGACCCTTCGGTCTGCGGGCAAACCTCTAACCACTTAGCAAAACCGACCAGGCCCCAAGTTTGTTTTTTATAAGCCCCAATGATAGATACATATTATGTTGCAACCCAATGTTCATATATGTTCTAAAACAAAAGTTTCCAAACAGTACTATCCTAATCTTGTATACTACTAGTATATACAGTCTAATATTTATTACCAGAGGCCTGGTGCACGAAATTCGTGCATGGGGGGGGGGGGAGTCCCCTCACCCCTCACCGTCTCCAATCCAGGACCCCTCGAGGGATGTCCGACAACATCTCGCAATCTGGGACCGCTGGCTCCTAACTGCTCACCTGTCTGCCTGCCTGATCGCCCCTAACTGCTCCCCTGCGCCCCTAACCACCTCTGCCTTGCTCCGCACCCGGGACCCAGGATTACCTCCTCCCGCCGGTTGTAGGCAACAAGGACCCACGTTTCCCTCCCTCTAGCCAGCCACAGGCACACAGGACCCGGACCAGCTTTGCCTGGGCTGCAGCCGCAGGCGCCCAGGACCACGGGGCGGTGGCTTGTCCTCTCCTGGGCCGCAGCCCCAGCCACTGGCGCCCAGGCCGCAGGCACAGGTGCAGCCATTGGCGCCTGGGACTGCGGGGCGGGCAGCTTGTCCCTCTCCCTGGCTGCAAGTGCAGACGCAGCCACTGGTGCCTGGGACCATGGGGCATGTGGCTTGGCCCTCTCCCGGGCTGCAGCCTGGCTGGTCCCCATTCCTCTCTCGCAAGCTCATTTGAGTCTGGCTGGTCCCCATTCCTCTCTCACAAGCTGATTTGTGCCTGGCTGGTCCCCATTCTTCTGTCCCCAGTGTTGAGTGTCTGAGCC